TGTGGACTTTACACCCTTCTGTTGTAATTGAGTCTTTTTTTCCATATCAGAAATGCATTTTTATTTGAAAACAACTTTACATTTTTAGACAAATGATTTTAGTATATAAATTTGATTTTGTTTTTATACAGAATATAGACATTTCCCTCACTGATCTTCCATGTGAAGGGTATCACAAGCCTGAAGGAATACTTTCTGCATACAAGTGTGTATCTTACGTGCAGGGTGTTGGCAACAAATGGTGCAGTGCTCCTGCACGTTAGGTGAAGTGACGTTACATATTAAAAAAGGGGGTAAGAGAAATATTCTAGTTAATCATATTCAAGAAGCAAACATGACACAAAAACTGTGCAGTTAAGACCAGGTCAGTAACTTTAGTTAGAACACTGCGGGTTATGCTGGGATAACAGATTGTGAGGCTATCGTGTGCAGCACATGAAACAGCAAGGAAGAGCTATTATATACAATGGCTGGAATGAGGGATTTCACTAAAGCAAATTAATTTCTTGTCAACTGCCAAAGCAAAACAAGACAAAACAGAGCTCACAAGTGTTAGTACATCGAAGGCATGTTATACCAGTTCTGCGTAGCATGCTAAGTGTTAGAACTTCTTTACAGGTGCAGACAATCATAATAGTCATGGAAAGTTTTTTTGCCCTTTCTCACCAAGTTTCAGGCATGCCTTATTTAAATGGAGTATAGCTTTTTTTTTTTTTTGGTATGTGTCCCTAGCAGGAACCGAACCCGGGACTCTCTGGTCCACAGGCCTATGCTCCAACCGCTGAGCCAAACCGGCTAGGGCAAAATGGAGTATAGCTTTTATCTATTATTTCATCCTGTAAGAACATGTGAAGACAACGTTCATTCTGTGCCAGAGAATCACCAGCGACCTTGTTTATAAACTGCTCCAGCTGTTGCTTCCTTTCTTCAATGAAATTGTCATTAAATATTCCATCATCTCCTCTAAAAAGAAGCTGTCACAAAAACGCTTCCCCAGGGTGTGGGGGAACTACAACCTTGCTCTCTCTTGCTAATTCACTTCGCAGCCATTCAAAGTCACTGTATCTTCTTCTAACAGTAGATTCTTTCAGCTTGAAAATAGGCAGACTTGTCTTGACCCCGATTTCATAGGTGGTGAAGCAGCCTCGGTCAACCCCCACCGTCTGGGGGTTGCTCCCAACGATCTCAAGGAAGTTGCTGGGTGGCCCATAGGCGTCATTCAGATTCTGTAGCTTAGTGATCAGCTGCTAGGTGTCCACCACCGCCTTGCCATTTCGCTGTGGCAGCCCCCGCTGCGGGCTCCCTCCACCCCCACCGTTCCACCCAGTCCACTGCTGCTGCTGGCCACTGGGGGGACCTGTAATTGAGTCTTGATTGCTGTTGGCATGTCAATGGGAGGGTTTTACTCAGGCTGATCAGCTGCAAGGACTGGCTGTGCCCACAAACCACAACCTCTGACTACCTTGGAGGATCAGCTGTGCAGGGGCCCACCACACAGAGCAAGACTTACTTCAGCTCTGGTACGCCCTGCGTCCATTCCTTGAGTCTGTCACTTGTGGAGGTGTTTGGTGGTGGTGCTTCGACATGGTCTGAAGCTGTCCACTGGGTGTGCTGTCTCTGGGGCCAGGTCAGCCACTGCCTGTGTTCTACCCAGGGCCACCAGGCATAAGCTACAAAGTGAGCTGCAGATGGCTGCTTCTTGTGCTGGGCTTAGAGGGCCCAGGGGAAGCCAACCTGTAAACCAAGGCTCACTGCTTCTAGGTATGGGGCTCGCTGCGGCCAGATGCTGCTTGTTTGAGAGAATTTAGGGAAATCTAAAGCAGGAGCCAAGACAGGCCAATCCTATGGTAAAGCCACTGGAAACAGCTTGGGTGGGCCTGAAAGTTGGGTGGGGCAGGGCCTCAGGGAATCACCAGGGTGGAGCAAACAGTATGAGCCAGGTTGTTGGAGGCCCAGATATGGCTGCTGTCTGTCTGTCCTGTAGGGAAAGGGCTCACCAAAGGAACAACAGCCTCCACCAGCAGGTCTGTCCAGGAGAAAGCTGCCTCAGCAGTCCTTGCCCCAATGCTAAACAACTCAGTTCTTCTCCGTATGTCTCTGGTTTCTTTCAAGCTGCCTCCCCCTACACTGGAGCCTGGAAGTTGGGAGTCCGAGTAAGTCCGCGGGCTTTTTAAGAGGAACTGCCTGAGCTCTAGAAGCCTCAGCCTCCCTCAGCCTCAGTTCCCGCTGGTTTGTACAGCCAGAAGTTATGGGACTTCTCTTCCTGGCACTGGAACCCTGAGCTGGGCGCCTGGTGTGAGACGGATACCCCTTGCTCCTTGGGGAGGACCTTCCCAGCCAAGGTATCTCTGTGATTTTTATCCACCACACATGGGTGAGGGACCAGCCCGTCCATGCCTCCACCTTCCCTACCAGTCTGATGTGGCTTCTTTAATTCCGTAGTTGTAGGACTTCCATTCAACTCGATTTCAGGTGGTTCTGAAGGATATTTGTTCTGTAGTTTAGTTGTAATCTTGATGTGGTTGGGGAGGAGGCGATACCACATTTACCTACGCCGCCATCTTGTCCAGAAGTCAACATAGGCTTTGAATGTAAATTTCAAGGAGCTTCTCCTGTCTCTTTCAGAACATCCTGAGTTGTTCCTAGACCTTTTATTCTCGCTTTGCATTTGTATCAGTCAGCTATTGCTCTATAAATTTCAAAATCTTGCCCAGCCGGTGGGGCTCACAGATTGAGCATCGACCCATGCACCAAGAGGTCGCAGGTTTGATTCCTGGTCAGGACACAGGCCCAGGTTGTGGGCCCGATCCCCAGTGGGGAGCGTGCATTCGATGTTCTCTCTCATCGATGTTTCTATCTTTCTCTCCTTCTCCCTTCTTCTCTCTCTAAAAATTAATAAAGAGAAAATTTTTTTTTAAATCTTAGTGGTATACACAACAATAAGCATTTATTTCTCACTTGAAAATTGCAGGCCAGCCAGGACAGCTCTACTTCAGGCTACGATGGCTAGCCAGAGCATGTTCATATCATGATAATTGTGGAAGCACAAGAGGGTATGAGATAATGTGTAAAGATTCCTAAGGTTTGGGTTGAACTTAGCATAATTCTGTTTTCATCCATATCTCATTGGCCCATGAAAGTCACATGAGGCTCTGTAGATAGTGTAGATTCAAGGTGGGGTGAGAAATTTGGCCCATCACTTTGATCTACAACATCATTCGTCCTCATTTTAAATTCTCTGTCAGTGAGATTGCTACCTAAGTCCCTTTTGTTCTCGCTGAACTCATCCTGTTACTGGAGAGCCAATCAAGTTGCAGGCACTCTCCCCTTCTTGGCTCTTTGCACTTGCAAGAAAGAATTCAGACTAGTGAAAGAAACCAGTGTTGAGCCCTGGCCAATTTGGCTCAGCGGTTAGAGCGTCGGCCTGCGGTCCGCAGAGACCCGGGTTCGGTTCCTGCTAAGGGCACGTACTTCGGTTGCAGTTTGTCCCTGGCCCTGGTTGGTCGTGCGGGTGGCAGCCACTCGATGTGTCCCTTCACATCGATGTTTCTCTCTCTCTCTCCCTTCCTCTCTCTCCCTCCCACTCTATCTGTACAAAAAATGGAAAAATGTCCTCGGGTGAGGATAAAAAAAAAGAAAGCAGTGTTGAATCAAAGCAAGCAAATTTTTTTTTTTTTAATCCTCACCCAAGGACATTCTTCCATTTTTTGCTCAGATAGAGTGGGGAGGGAGAGAGAGAGAAAGAAACATCGATGTGAAAGGGACACATCGAGTGGCTGCCACCCACACGACCCAACCAGGGCCAGGGACAAACTGCAACCGAACCCGGATCTCTCTGGACCGCAGGCCGACGCTCTAACAGCTGAGCCAAACCGGCCAGGGCTGAAGCAAGCAAATTTTTTAAGGAAGCAAAAAGCAAGTGAATTTATCAAGAATACACTTGGTATAAAGCAAAAGCAGGCAACTCAACTAATCTGAGTGCCCCACCTTGTAGGGGTTCAAGTGTTGTTGTTTTTTTAAATACTTTTTGCCCTTATAGGTTTTAAGGTTCTCCTGCCCGATATTGGGCAACAGACTAGATTTCAAGGTCCCCCTTTTACATTGTTGTGACTTTTTCCAGAGTTTATGAGAACATCTGGGGATTTTATTGTGACAAGTCCCAAGAGTGCTGACTTCTTTATTCAGTGGGAGAGATAAGCCTCCCTTTTCCCCACTTTCCCTTCCTCCTGCCCTAGCCGCTCTCCATCCTGTCTAACAATCCTAGTTTCTGTTTAGTTTTCTTTCTCTCTTAACAAAATACCTAAAAAAATCTTTATATCTTAACAACTCTGCCTCAGAAACCAACTAACTTTGGTGCCATAGAGCTTCCTATCTATACTCTGAAACTCCCTTCTTACAGATATTTCTACATATATATGGAGTTATTTTTCCTTCTCTACCGCATTTATATTGAATATTTAATTTCCTTGGACTTAGCCAAGATGGACATCCCAAATTCACGTCTTTCAGGAAGGTGGCTTTTTTTTTTTGTTTTTAAAGCAAAACAAAAATGAGAAATTGATCTTGCATTTTTCCCAGAGGAATAGAGCCTGGTTTGGATTAGGGAGCTCTTATAGATGAGTAACTCCTCACGGGTCTCCTAGAGGCTGATGTAGAACAACCTGTTTTCAATTGATCAAGTTTTGGAGGGATTAGCCAGGCTTTGAACCAATTTTAAAAATGGGGATTTGACATATTCTAGCCCTAAGAAACATAATTAGTGGAGGGAAAATATAATCAGAATAGAATGTCAATAAAACAGTCGCCCTTCCCTTGGATTCTTAGAGTTTCATAAACCCAAAACCCCGTGTTTCTAACTGGGAAAATAGGCTTAGAAGCATGAGAAAGGGGAGAGCATGCTTCAAGAATTCTGGATGTATTTCCCAAAAAAGGAACATGATAAAAGTGGTCAGAAGAAGCAATTTCCTTCCTCTTTTCTAATCTTGGCTTCATGGCTTACATGTTATAGTTTCCACTGCTTCTATCACTTTGGGGATAACATGTGGCTCTTAACAGCTCTGCTCCTTTGGGGTAAGTTGGGCTTAGGGGGTGTAACTAGAAGGGTGCAGGCGCTGGTTAAGGGGACTCAGGATTTTTTGTCTTTCTTTGGTTCTCTAGGCTAGCTAGATCTCATGAGTATGGAGACAATTGTTTCTGTGCTTCCATGCTTTATTGGTGTTTATTATATCAAAAGAATGGGAAGAGAGACTCTGAGGTAACACTAAGCCTGGAAGCATCATGTTAAAATAAAGCCCCATCAATAACCATCTGTAAACTGTTCAGTATCATTGGTATCTGATTTTGGGAAAGGAGAAGAGAGAAACTAGAGATCTAAGCTGGCCTCTCAGAATCTATATTAATTGTATCTCCCTAATTCTCTCTTCCCTGTCATCTTCCACTGACAAACTGATGATGTCTCTATTGTTTGGTCTCTTACAGTTCCAGCTGGTGAGCAAATAAGTAAGTACTGTCTAATTAACTTCGCTTCCTCTGGCACACACCTGCTTCCAATGATAGGCTCCATGAGCCTAAAGAAGAGAGTATGGGGAGAGGATAGAAAGGACAACGGTTTATAAATTATATAAAGTCCCTTATATTCAGAGTATGATTTTGATAAAATCATGGTTTTTAAGAGTTCTCTCTAAGATTTTCTAAATGAGCCCTGATCTCTGGACTAAATGCGTAAATAGCGGTAAAGAGCCAGAACTGCAAACATACAGAAGTAGTTCTGGGTTTTCCAATATCCCCTGAGCCAGTTCCCTTTACAAGAAAGCTGAAGTGTTTTTTTCTCCTCAGAGAGAATCAAGCAGGCTTTGAAGTTTGGAGTTTGAACCTTGATTTCCAATACAGATGCAATTAAGGTTTGAGATAAACCCTCAGAGATAATATTGCAAATCAGCTCCAATCTATTTGCACCAGTTTAAAACCCCGCTTCATTGTTTACCAACAGTGAGAACTAAATTGGTCATCTAATTCTCAGGAACCCAAAGTCTGTAACACTCAGATTTAATAACATGCTTTCATGTCTGGACATTCTTAATGGCTAGCTTTTGTAGGTTCTCACTCGTCTATTTTTCAATCTAATCTAAATATACATTATTTTCTCTTGTGCTATCCACAAAACCTCATTAATTGTTCAGACTCTTTCTTTTTACTCCACTTGTTTTTGTTCTTATTTGCCCCCCAAGCAGACCTTGCAAAGCCAGTGATCACCTTGCAGCCTCCATGGGTCAATATATTCCCAAAGGAAAGTGTAACTTTAAGTTGTGAGGAACCCCACCTGCGCAGGGACAGCTCTACGCGGTGGTTTCTCAATGGTACAGCCATTCCGACCTCCACTGCTAGCTACAGCATTACTGCTGCCAGTGTCAATGACACTGGTGAATACAAGTGCCAGCGAGGCGACTCGAGTCTAAGTGACCCAGTACAGCTGGAAGTTCGCAGAGGTAAGTATGGCATGGAGCAGGAGGGCTGGAAATCACAAGGTCTTCCTTTGTGTTTTCTCCTTTCTGGATGTTAGGGGTGTGTGTGTGTGTTGATTTATCTGAGTATGAGTCTCAACTCTATGTGCCTACCAGGTGCAATAAAGTCAAGATAATCAAAATATCACATTAGAGCCCTTAAACTATGCCCCCAAAGTACCCCAACTGGGACAAGTGTGAGTAGGGTATCTAGAGTAAAATACAGACCCTAAGATTTTATCATTATTCAAAATTATTTTGTTTTCTTGAAAAAAGTTATACCTACCCATGGTGAATAATACTAATTTGGAGAAATATACAACGATGAACAATAAAGTCTCCCTCCCATCCCAAACTCCTCACCCCACAGGCAGCTTCCACAGAAACAAAACTGTTAATAATATAAACTTTTTAAAAAGTGGTTGGTAGAATATATACTATCCTACACCTTACTTTTATCATTTAGAATGCTGTGGTCTGTTTATATTAATAGAGACCCACCTCATACTTTCAAATGTCCGCCATATGATTTAAACATTCTCCCTAAGCTTCTAGTGTGTTTCCATGCTTTGCTTTTATAAGCAATGCTGCAGTAAACATCTTTATACATATCATCTGGGGCACATTTCATAGTGTATCTGTAAGATAATATTCTGGACATGGAATTACTGTGAGACTTCAAGCATTTTATCTTATTTTATTTTATTTATTGTAAGCATTTTAAATGATGAATAGAAGCAGATAAAACCCTACCATTCACTTACATCTGTAAGAGGTTTCTACTGTTTAAGGGATAAAGACTGCATACTCTCTAGAGCAAAATGTTTCATTATTTAAGACAAATCATTCAACCGGGTTATTTAGTTATTCAGAAGCATTAAGATAAAACTTCTGTGTAGCCCTGGCCAGTTTGGCTCCGTTGTTGAGCATCGGCCCGCGGACCAGAGAGTCCTGGGTTCGTTTACCGCTAGGGGCACGTACAACAACAACAACAAAAACCTCTGTGTAATTGATAATGTAAAAATGAATCCATGCTGGAAGCAGAATTAGATTTATGTGGACTAGATTGCTTTAGGAAGAAATGTGTTTTAGCTAAGAAAATGTTGAGAATGTCAGAAGAAATGCTCAGTGTTTCTCATGTGTGTCTTAGGACTCTGGAAATCAGTTCCTTTGCTACAGAGGTGAGGGGAGCTGGGAATGGTTTTAACAAGAGACTCTGTGTAGTTTGAGCAGAAGCAGAAATGATCTAGGGCTGAGTACAGGCCATTTTCTTCACCTCTAGAACCCCCAGCACTGGTGCCTTATTGAGAGTAGTATCTTTTACGTTATTTTCTACATTATATTATATATTACAGTATTACCGTATATGTCAACAAAAGTGTGCTGCTGCTAATCCAGTCCCAACAAAATCCCCCAATCTGAGGTGCAGCAAAAGTAGAAACTATTCAGACCAAACCTGCACACAGGCGTGATACAGGCTCCTGAAGACATTGAAAGAGAACTCCCCTGAAACAAAGGGGTGGACCACTTTTTTGTTTTTTTTTAATTCTCACTGGAGGATATTTTTCCATTTATCTTCAGATAGAGTGGGAGGGAGAGAGAGAGGGACACATCGACCAGTTGCCTCCCGCATGATCTCGACCAGGGTCGGGGACTGAACCACAACCAAGGTACATGCCCTTGACCAAAATTGAACCCGCGACTCTTTGGTCCATGGGCAGACGCTCTAACCGCTGAACCAAACCTGCCAGAGCGGGAGGCCCACTTTAATAGGGAAAGTTCCCACCATGATCCCTGATTGGTCCATTTCCATAAAATGAGGAACCTAAATTTGCAGTCTGATTAGTCTAAATAGCACTGATTGCTCAGTTTTGTGCGTTCTCAATTGGTCATTATGGAGGGACTCTGATTAGTCAAAAAAGACACAATTGAGAATATAGCTCTGCCATTCCAATTGGATTAGGCAGGTCTCAGCCTATTGGTTAAAAGTTGATTCCAGGAACTGCTTTATATAGGTCAAGCAGGAGCACAGTGCAGGAAGCCGGCAGTTTAGTTGGTGGCCTTCCCCTGAAATGCAGAGTACATGAGAGGCTCCTGTCGGCAATGTCTGCTAGAATCTGATTATGAATTTGAGCCCAATTAACCTCAAAGAGTTCTTAGCATGAATATTCCTTCACAGGTCAACAATTTATATATTTTAATGAGAATTTTAACATACAACAAACCTAAGTGTATACTTCAGTGAATTTTCACGAAGTAAACTTCAGCCAGATAAATAAATGTCTCCAGAATCACAGAAAACCCCTTTAGTCCATTTCTAGTCACTGCCCCAAGGCTGACTTCTAACACCATAGTTTTTTACCTGTTTTTTTTTTTTAACTTCATATAAATGGATATAGTATGGTATAGTATGTACTCTTTGTGTCTTGCTTCTTTTACTCACGTTGATTGTAAGATTCATAAATGTTGTCAAGTTGCTGTTTGTTCTCACTATTGTACAATATTTCATATTTATCCATTCTATTGATGGACTGTTGGGTGGTTTCTAGTTGGACCTCTTACAAATACTATCGATGTGGATATTTTGTACATGTCTTTTGGTGCACATATGTACATATATTTGTTGGAATACACCTAGGAGTAGAATTGCTGAGTCACAAAATATGCACACATTCAGCTTTACTTTTTCAAAGTGGTTAGACCATATCACACTCCCAGTGTGAGAGTTGTCGTTGTTGCTCATCAACAGTAGGTGTTTTGGGTATTTTTCACTGTAGCCTTTCTGGTGCACATGCAATAGTATCACCCTATGGTTTTTTGTTGTTGTTGTTGTTCAGGTAGAGTGGGAGGGAGAGAGAGGAACAGAGAGAGAGAGAGAGAAACATCGATGTGAAAGGGACACATCGAGTGGCTGCCACCCGCACGACCGACCAGGGCCAGGGACAAACTGCAACCGAGGTACGCGCCCTTAGCGGGAACCGAACCCGGGTCTCTCAGGACCGCAGGCTGACGCTCTAACCGCTGAGCCAAACCGGCCAGGGCACACCCTATGGTTTTAATTTGCATTCCCTGATGACTTATGATATTGAATATTTGAAAAAAAATGTTTTTCCTTTATTGATTTTACAGAGAGAGGAAGTGAGAGGGAGAGAGAGATAGAAACATCAATGAGAGAGAATATCAATTGGCTGCCTCCAGCATGCCCCCGACCAGGGATCAGGCCCACAACCTGGGCATGTGTCCTGACTGGGAATTGAACCCATGACTTCTTGGTGCATGGGTCAATGCTCAACCACTGAGCCACACTGGCCAGACAATATTGAACATTTTTCACATGTTTATTATTTATTTGGATATCCTCTTGGTAAAGTACCTGTCTAGGTTTTTTGTCAGTTAAAAAAAAAAAAAATGTTGTCTGCCTTTTCCTTATTGACTTGTGGGAACTCTTTATATATTCTGGCTATGAGACCCTTTTCAAGTGTAGCAAATATATTCCACTCTGTGGCTTGCCTTTTTGCTATCTCATTATGTTGTTTTCTTTTTTTCAATGAGAAAAAGTTTTAAATTTTACTAGAGTATGATATGTCAAGTTTTCTGGTTGATGTTCTCTATACCCTATTTAAAATGTTTGCAACAGTTAATAAGCAATGGAGGATTTAATTGCAGTTATACTTGCTCTCAGTCACTTCAATTAAATCTGTGTGTGCTGAGACCAAGAAAATACAGCTGGTTGGTGAACCCAAGTCCTAATCATGTGATTTAAAATGAGTGTCTTCATCCTACTCCAAAGTGATAAAGATAGGGTGAAGGGTTTGTTTTTTGTTAGTCCTCACCTGAGGACATTTTTCCATTGATTTTTTTTTTTTAGGTAGAGTGGTAGAAAGGGAGGGAGGAAAAGAGGGATGAAGAGAGAGAGAGAGAGAGAGAGAGAGAGAGAGAGACATCGATGTATGAGACACATCCATTGGTTGCCTCCTGCACCACCCCATTCGGGCCAGGAATCGAACCTGTAGCTCAGGTACATGCCCTTGACCGGGAATCGAACCCGCAGCCCTTCAGTCTGAGTGCTGATGCTCTAACCGCTGAACCAAACCAGCCAGGGTGGGTGAAGGGTTTTTGAGTAGAAAATTAATGTCTGCTAAAAGCCGTATTCCCCAAATTTTTTTTTCAATCCTCACCTGAGGATATTTTTCCATTTACTGTCAGATAGAGTTGGGGGGAGAGAAACACTGATGTGAGAGAGACACATCAATTGGTTTCTGTGGGCCAATGTTCCAACCACTGAATCAAACCAGCCAGGGTCATTCCCCCCAATTTTTGATATGTAATACTCTTGTTATCTTTGAAGGCTAAATATTTTAAATTTCATTTATAACTTTCTCTCTTTCTTTTACTCATTATTTATTTAGAAATGTTTTTGGAGTGTGGTTTTAAGTTATTGATTTCTACTTTCATGGCATTTTGGTCAAAATTTGTGTTAAATATGATATCAGTTCCCTGGTATTTGTTGAAAATTGCTTTGTAGCCTGGTATATACTCAATTTGTATAACTGTTGCATGTGTGTTTGGGAAGTATGTGAATTTTCTCTAAGGTACCACATTCTTTGTAAATCCATGAGATTAAGTCTATTAATTGTCATTCGAATGTTGTATAATCACTAGTATCTGGGGCAGTTTCTGATGGAGGTTTGTTAAAATTGCCCAATATGTTTGTGGATGTATAAAGCAGAGGTATCTGTGTTTGGGCAGTGCAGTGTTTGAGCATCTGTTAGTTGAGAACAGGAGAAGGGAGGAAAGAGTATTCATTATGTTTGGAAGCACTTACGGCAGCATCCAAGACTGAAAATCATGCTACATATAGCACTGGAATGCCTGCCTTCCATTCTAAGTTCTAGAGGTGGGGAAACACTACTGTCTCTTGTCTGCTTTTGTCCTTTAAGAACCTCATTCTCACTTAGCCAAACCAACTGCCCAGGGAAGGAAAAAGTAAAGGAGGCATTTTTAGTTATGTGGAGAGGTATCATTTAAAAGTGGGGCCTGAGCACTGGCCAGTTTGGCTCAGAGGATAGCGCCTCAGCCTGCCTGGGCTGCAGTTTGTCCCCGGCCCTGGATGGTTGTACGGGTGGCAACCACTGATGTGTCCCTTTCACGTGGATGTTTCTTTCTCTTTCTTCCTCTTTCTCCCTCCCTATCTGAACAAAAAAATGGAAAAATGTCCTCGGGTGAGGATAAAAAAAAAAGTGAGGGCCCGAAAGTGCGCGCAGGCCTTGGTGGGCTCCGGGGCGTGGAGCAGGGGCGCAGCATGGAGCAGCCCAGCCCAGCCCAGCCCAGCCCGAGCAGGCGCTAGCCGGAGGGTGCCAGCAGGGCGGGTGCCAGCCGGGCAGGTGCCGGGCCTCTGACGGAGCTGCGGCCGAGTGGGGCCTCGCCAGACGGTGCACGCCAGGTCGGGCGGGCTCCCCAAGGCCCTGCCGCGCACGGGTCCCCACTCCTTGCGCGACATGCCGCACCGCTGGCCGGCTCCAGCAGCAAGGAGGTTCGGCGACAAGGTGAATATAGAATACCACTAATATTCTGGAAGTGCCCCCCCCCCCCCCCCCCGCCGTGCCTAGGGAGGAAAATCAACGCAAAATCAAGATGCTGTGATTAGAAGGAACCAGTATTAGACAAGCAGAAACAACAGAGATCTACTACAGACTTTCCACTACCCCTTTCTTCCCTGTCATTTCCTAACTTCCCTATTTCTCTCTCCTATTCATTAAAATCTTTAGCTATACCACCCCATGTCCCCACCCCCTAACTCACAGTCTTCTCAAATCATGCCCTCATTTCATGTACCTCTGTTCAAATCTGCAAAATTGTTTCCTCCCCTCCCCTCCCCTCCCCTCCCCTCCCCTTTCCTTTTCCCTTTTCCTTTTCCTTTTCCTTTCCTCTCTCCCTTCCTCCCTCCCTTCCTCCTCTCCTTTCCTCCCCTCCCCTCCCCTCCCCTCCCTTCCCCTCCCCTCCCCTCCCTTCCCCTCCCCTCCTTTCCTTTCCCCCTGGCCCCACCTCCATTTTCAGTCACCTTCACCTCTTTTCTAGTGCAGCTGCCCTCTCCCATGGCACACCCTTGTAAATACATACATACATACATACATACATACATACATACGTACAAGTGAGGGCCCTTTCGACTTGGAGCTTGTTTTTACAGCTATATCACTGATCTGCACATATGCGAGTATTTCTATCAATTTAGAAGCATGAATACATCTGGATGTGTTTGCCATTTTGTGTGTTTGTTTTAGTATGTGTGATCCCATTAACAAATTAGTCAGGAGTTAGAGTGTATCACTTTTCTATTGCTATGTAACAAATTACCACAAACTTAGCTTAAAACAACAAACATTAACTATCTTTCCATTGGATAGGAATCTCCGCACAGCCTAGCAGGGTGTTCTGCTGAGGCTGCCAATGGGTGTTGACTGGGCTGTGGTCCTTCCTGCACTTCTTCTAAGCTCACATGGTCATTGGCAGAATTCAGTTCCTTGTGAATTCAGTGTAAGACTAAAGTCCCCTGCCCTGGCCAGTTTGGCTCAGCGCTTGAGCATCGGCCTGCGGACTAGAGAGTCCCGGGTTCGGTTCCCGCTAGAGGCACGTACCACCAAATAATACTAAAAAAAAAAGCAAAACATAAAAGACTGAAGTCCCCAATGTTTGCTGGCTGTCAGTGGGATGCCCCCTGCCATATGCCTTTCTCATAGGCCCTCTGACAACATGTCAGCTCACTTCTTTAAGGCCAGCAGGAGACCCTCTCAGTCCAGCCAGCTAAGACAGAGTCTTATATAATGTAATACCATCGTGGGAGTGACTCTCATAACCTTCGTCTTATTCTGGTGCTGGAAGCAAGTTATAGGTTCCAGACACACTCAAGGGGATTATACAAGGGTGTAACTTATGGGGTCACCTTAGAACACTGCATACCATGTATGATAAACTGTTTTTGTCCCAACCGACTTCTCAGATCTGAAAAGGGAAAATAAGAAGGGGCTGTGTACAGGGCTGCTGGTAAAGATTAGCTTTGTTCCCAGGAAAGCTAAAGAGAGTTGAGGAATGAGAGATAGGCTTCAGATTCAGCAGAGCTCTAGGTTGGAATGTTTAAGGAGAAAAAGAAAGCTTTGGTTTCCTTGTATCTGCCACTGTATACATACATTTTGGGCCCACATTTTTCAGATTGGCTACTACTCCAGGTCTCTAGCAGAGTCATCACTGAAGGGAAACCTGTGGCCTTGCGGTGTCATGAATGGAATAATATGCAAGTGTACAATGTGCTTTTCTACCACAATGGCAAGACCTTAAAATTTTATCATTGGAATTCTGAATTCACCATTCTGAAAACCAACCTGAGTCACAATGGCATCTATCACTGCTCAGGCAAGGGAAAGACTCTCTTCACATCAGCAGGAGTATCTATCACTGTAAAAGGTATTGTATCTGAATAGTCATAGAGCAGAGTTTTAAAGATGAGTGAAACTATTATAAATCACCCCTTTAATTTGCAAGTGAAGAAACTGAGCTCCAGGGAGGCAAACTGCCTTATTGGAGGCCACAAGATGACCAGTGGCCGAATGGGAACCAGAACTAAGGTCTCCTGGGTCCTAGTCCATTGCTCTTTCCAGCATTCCATAGTGCCCCTTTAATAATCCCAGGAGCCAATGTCAAGGCTAGGGCATACTGAGGATCCATTTCATCAATTTTATTTTAGTTGCAAAGAATAGAGACTCACTCAAGGTAGGAGGGAGTTATTAGAAAATAACCCATGGAATCTCATAAAAGCTCCATAGAAACAGAGGACAGGAAGACATTAGGACTTGGTTATACTTTACATCTATCTCTCAGGAAAAACATGGCCTCTTGGGTTCCACTCCTTTCTGAATCTCTGCTAACTAAACAGCTCCCTCTGTTCCAGTTGCATGTGGCCTTTGTTGTGACTCTTTAATGGGCTCTCATCTCAGTACTCATAACCACTAGCACCCTTTTTCTGTCTGAAAGATAGTTGATTCCTATGGGAAAGAAATTAGTGTCCCAGATTCTTTTTTGAGGCAGGAGCACAAGTAAAGGTATTGTATCTGAATAGTCATAGAACATAGTTTTAAAGATCAGTGGAACTATTATAAATCATCTGTGTGTGAGTGTATCCACTCCCCGTCCACCATACCAAAGGGCGTGGCCACATAATAAATAACATTCAGAGAAGCATGGACTGTGTAGAGGATTCTCCCAAGTAGGATGTGAGCAAGCTGGTAAATATATGAGGAAACCCCAAGAATGCCTCTCTGTCGGAAGTGGGGAAAATTATGTTTTATGGATGTACTCTTTAGGGACAGGTTCCCAGAGGAGGAGGGGGTATATCTTCTGCAAAAAGAACCTTGACTCTGAATTAGGTAACTGTTAACATTTTCTTTAGAGCTATTTCCAGCCCCAGTGCTGAGAGCATCATTACCCCTCCTCGAGGGGAACCCGGTCAATCTGAGCTGTGAAACCAGGGTGCACCCACACAGCCCTCTTGTGCAGCTCTACTTCTCCTTCTATGTGGCAAGTAAGGCCCTGAGCAACAGAACCATGTCCTCTGACTACCACATACCAAATGCTAAACCAGAAGACTCCGGGTTCTACTGGTGTGAGGCTGCCACAGAAGATGGAAATGTCATCAAGCACAGCCCTGTGTTGGAGCTTCGAGTGCTGGGTGAGTGAAAGATGCTCTCTTTTCTCCTGTGGGACTGAGGTCTGTTCCAGGGGATTTCATGGCCCGGACAGGAAAAACCTATGAATAGACCTTGCCACCCTTGATTCAAAACTTCACTGTTCTCCCATAGACATGATTAACTTTTCTTTTGTTTCTTTTCCTTTCCTTCTTCTATTTATTTCCTTCCTTTTGTTTTTTCTCCTATAATTTGTATTCTATCTTCTCTTTCATTCTGTCTCTCCCTTTCCCCCTCTCTTCTCCTTCTCTCTCACCAACAATCTAATAAAAATAGAGAGAGAATTTCTCCTATCTGCTGTCATATAAAGACACTTTATATGACAGTTATTACCTGAAAGAGCTCACGTGGTAGATTGGTGAGATGGGGATTTTGTGGATTGCACATAAATACTTGTCCAAATGTCTCTGTCTGGCTGAGGTGAAGGGATTGTGAGTTCCAGAGCACAGACTCCTTCGGAAAAACAGTTTATTGTCAATCCAAATTTATTTCAAGCATTACATAGAACTAGCGGTTGTCTCTGGAACTAGGAAGTCAGTCCACTGACAGGGCCCTGGCAGTTAAGGTCCTGGTAGCAGGTTCCCAGACTGCTCCTTGTCTGTGCTCCATAGAGCCCAGTTGGAGCTGCCTCCAGCTCCTTCCTGCCCCCTGAAATTACCTGTCCACCAAGGACAGTCATAGCAGGTCTCAGCCGACCTTCTCTTCCAAACATAACTCGGTCAGATCCCTTTGTCATTTTCTTTTACAGACTCCCCGCCACCAACTTCTATTTGGTTTCATGTTCTGTTCTATCTGGCAATGGGAATAATATTTTTGGTGGACACTGTTTTTTATGTGCTAATATATAAGAAACTGCAAAGAAAGAAAAAGTGGAGTTTAGAAATTCCTTTGGAATCTGGTCTGGGAAGAAGGTAATTTCTTATCTTCCGTTCTCTCTAAAATCAATAAAAAATAATAAAAAAGATACACTGCTTTCTCACTTGGGTTTTATTTTGGAGATAAAATGTTTCCCTGCTTCTCCACAACACAGCTGAGATATGAATACGACTTTACTAAAGCTTAGAAAATAACCAAAAGGGTGTAAACAAACCTAGCAACATAATTCTAGATTATTTGGTTTAAAAAAAATGTAGCTTATCTGCCAAACATCCCTGCTTAGCTTCTGGTCCGGCTCCAGATGGCGGGGCTCACCTTTAACTCCCACCACCTGGAAGCACCTGCAAGCAACTAGGGCCTTGAGGTAGACGAAAGAGCCCCTTAGCCCACTGCTTCCTTAGTCTGTGGACGGTGAGAATGTCCTCTCCCCATCACTTTCAGAAAAAAGTACAATAATTATGATCTCAATAGAAGTCCAACAACTCCAACATTTTTAAGGATATGGTCATATATAATGGCAGAAGTTTCATTGCACAGCATGTTTTGTCTCGTGGACCAGGGAAATGAGGAGAATTGCAGGGAATGAGTCCCGTAGGAAAAGAGACCAAAAGCACTCTGTAGAGGGACTGTCTGGAGAAGACTCTAGCTTGAGAAATTGGGAATTAAAGCAGGAAGTGACATTCACATTCAGAGGAGAGAACTCTGCCCCTCCCGGGCAGAGAATTTTCGGGAAGGGCTCCCTAGGACAGAAGGTCAGGGGGAGACATGGATAGAGACAGAGCACCATGGACCTGGGGTGAAGCTAAAGCACCCCGAAGTGCCTTCTCCATCCCCACCCTCCTCTTTGTGCTTCCTCTCCAGAGTTTTCCTTGCTTGAAATCTTTGTCACTGTGTTTATTTCTCATATTCATTTTAATGCTTAACTGATTGATTTGATTAAATTAAATTTCTTAATTGAACAATTTGCACTTCAGTATACCCTTATTTCTGGCTTATAACTATGCCAGGAATAGCTTCTTGGAGGTCCCACAAATTGAAGCCTACCTGCCTGTTCCCAAGCCTTAGTGCTGGGTCTGGTCAAGGCCTGGTACCACCTCATAGTTTCTCCACATGGGTACTGAGGCCTCAAATTTTCCTACTGGGGCAGGGTACCCTCTCCCTGGCCCTTGTCCCTATAGGTTTAATGGTTCACTCCTCTTTGTGTTTATTTCATCCAGTACTGGAAACACACAAGCCACATGTGGTTATTGAGCACTTAAAATATGGTTAGTGCACCTGGCCAGTGTGGCTCAGTGGCTGAGTGTTGACCCATGCACTGAGAGGTCACCAGTTCAATCCCTGGTCAGGGCACATGCCCAGGCTGTGGGCCTGATCCCCAGTGGGGGGCATGCAGGAGGTGGCCATCTCTCATTGATGTTTCTATCGCTCTCTCTCTCTCCCTCTCTCTCTAAAAATCAAGTAAAAAATATATATGTGGCTAGTGTGACTGAGGAACTAAATCTTTTAATTTTAATTAATTTGAATTTTTTAAAAAATATTTTGTTCAGATAGAGTGGGAGAGAGAGAGAGAGAGAAACATTGATGTGAAAGGGACACATCGAGTGGTTGCCACCTTCACCACCCAACCAGGGCCGGGGACAAACTGCAACCGAGGTACGTGCCCTTAGCGGGAACCGAACCCGGGTCTCTCTGGACCGCAGGCCAACGCTCTAACCGCTGAGCCAAACAGGCCAGGGCAATTAATTTGAATTTAAATAGCCACATGTGGCTAGTGGCTACCATACTGGATGGTGCAAATCTAAAGGATGGAAGTGGTCCCCATAATGCCTCTATTCAGTTCGGCAGCCTGGTCCCTGCGGAAGCTTAGATGGATTCTGGAGATGACTGCAAGCTCAACTAAGTAGCTCAACAATCCTAAATTGCCATGCTAGATGTGGTAGCTTTACTAGAGAAAATTAATATAGCCTCAGGTACATGGTATTCAACTGCGCAGCTAGTCAAACCAGGCCTGAGGAGGGGCGACAGGAGATTATGAAAGACACAGAGGCATTATACAGAGAAAAGCTGGGGTCAGATGGGACACTGCTCTCTGATGGAGAAACTGACCTTGAGCTAGCTCAGTATGTTTATTATATATCAGTAATGAAGGGAATTTCAAAAGCTTTATTATCTTCAAACACCAGACATTTCTACCAGCATCTGAGCTTAAGGTCCAGACAGTTGATACATTCTTGCCCGTGGTTCAAAATGCTCCTGCATGGGCCTTGCCAGCACCCAGGAGCAACGAGAGACCTTGGGCAGATTGCTCACAGTGTCCTGTTCCTGGGTGAGCTTTGCAAACATTACAGGGTCTTGTTCCTGGGTGAGCTTTGCAAACACCACAGTGTCCTGTTCCTGGGTGAGCCTTACAAACATCACAGGGTCTTTTCTGTGACACAGAATTCTCCTGGGTGAGCTTTGCAAACACCACAGGAGCAACAAAAGACCTTGGCTCACCTGCCCTCCACATCTCCCCCTTTTTTGTTTTTTAAATCTTTTCCTGTTTTTATTTATTTATTTATTTATTTATTTATCCTCCTGAGGACATTTTTTTGTTTTTTTGTTCAGCTAAACTGAACCAGGGCTGGGGACAAACTGCAACTGAGGTACATGCCCTTAGTGGGAACTGAACCTGGGTCCCTCTGGACCGCAGGCCGATGCTCTAACCGCTGAGCAAAACCGGCCAGGGCTCCCTGTTTTGTTTTTAAATCTTCTCCCTTTTTGTCTTTAAATGCATGCGGTGAATATCTACTTGGACTCCTCTGGGTTGGGTTCGGAAGATCTGGCAACTGACTGACAGGAGACAAAACAGTATCATTAGAGCAATAACAAATCCAAGCAAGTACCATGCAGTATGTTTAAGAAGATTGAAAGGGTTGAAATCCTTAAGCTCATCTAAAATTCCTTTAGCCAGTTGTGCTGGATTAATAATATCCTCATGGCTATTTTGAATGTCTATGTAGTTGCTGCAAATCAAGACTGATATTATTATGAGTTCGTATTTTCTGGAGGTGTAACTTAACTTTGTCCCAATTCCACTGGGTTTTATTATATGGGATTGAAGTAACACAGATAATGTTGTAATGTGTCAGAGAGATAACCAGAGACACACGGCCGAATAGTAAAGGAGCACTTTATTTCCCCTGAGGGGCTCTCCCCAAATCACGGCCCCGAACTTCCTTTGTTCTTTGCTTATATAGGCACAAACTACAGAAAAAACTACATTAAAAAAGCCCGCATTCTCCTTGGCTCTGCTTAATTGGTGTTGGGGCTGATACAGACTGCCCCAGAGGCAAGGGGGAATCTGTTGCAGGGGTCAGGGCAATCCTTAATCTCTTTCTTTTTATGGTCCCTCCAAGTTTTCCAAGGCCATCATTAACCCCTTATCTTTATGGTTCCTCTAAGTTTCAGTCTCAGGTTTTTGTTTTTTTTTTTAGAAAACTGCTTGGGTGTTTACGTGCAGAAATAACTGGTCAGAATGGAGTTTAATTTTAAATAGCCCAGCTCAATAAAACTGTAAGCAACATGGCAAAGCAATTTTTGTCAAACTTTAATGCTCTCAATTTGATTTCCTAGCCTGATAACTGCGGCTTCCAAAGCATTCAATTTTGCTTCTAATTTGGTGTTAATATTTTCTTGATTGTACAAAGCAGCAGAGGTATTTTGAGCTAAATCATTCACAAAATGAGCATTATGTATACTTTGAGTCAGGGCCAATGAAGCAGTTACAGTGGAAGCAATTAGACCCACAATAGTGACAATGCCAAAAATAACTGATCCTAAAGCTCATTTTTGGCGAATCAATTAATTTTTAATCTCTACTAAAGCTTGCGACCCAGTTTCATGATACCAAGCTCCTGATATATTGGTAGGGAGCATAACAAAAGAGGCTGATATAGAATTAAAATATCACCATACTTATTATCTCTTGTTACACAGTTTGTTAATGTACACTCAGGGAATGAGACAGAATAGTGCATGGGAAGCTTAGTAATATTTACAGAGCCTGCCACAATCACATAAGGGGCTAGCACACAAGCCTGCAATACAAAACAGGGATTAGTGGAGTGACAGGCCATAGCAATGTTCTCCAAATAAGAGTCAGAATAAATTATAAAATCCAGTGTAGTGGCTCCCTCCTGCTTATTGCTAACTGCCTCCGCTTCTGTACCTGCTTGCTTGCCCTCCCCCAAGGCCAACAAGAAATGCCAGTTGCAAAAGTTTGTAACAAGCCCCCTATAACATAAAAAAGTAGCTGAAAGTTGGGGCTGATCTCTGAGAACTCGGGATCAGTCGCCAGCAGGCTTCGCTCTCTATATGACTTTAATATGGCTCTGGTGGTCTCTCGGTTCTCTCGCACCACAACATTTGGAGGCCCAAGCGGGGAAGCCCCAGACCAGACCACTATGCCAGCTATTAAAATTGCAAGAGGGGGCTGGTCTGAAGGAAGGCCTGGGAGGGACATTTCCTCTGCCTTGAGATTAAGCCTGCCTTCCCAGTTTCCCCAGCCCAGTCTCAAATTCTGCTCAAATTTAGTCTCAAATTCTGAATTCTAAGAGAGCATCTGGACTCATTTGAGTCACCTGGAATCTCACTGGTGAGTACTGTTTTCCGTTCTGTTGGGCCCCTTTCAGTGGCAAGGGGGAAGGCTGGACACAGCATTACTTCCCCAGCCAGGTTCCTTAGCGAGATGTCGCAGGGAACTTCAGTCAGTTCTGAAACTTCAGTCAGTTCTGGAACTTCAGTCAGCTCTCAGGTCTGTTTTTTGGTTTTAATAACTTCGGTTTCAGTCAGTTCTGTGTTTTTTTCTGTTTGTTTATTGGTCCTCCTGATTGTTTGTTGTTGACTGATTGCATTTCCTTTTGTTGTCATGAGCCAAAGTCAATCAGGTACAAAAACTCCATTGCAATGCCTATTGGATAATTTTAAAGATTTCAAAGCTTGGGCAAAAAACTATAATGTCCTGGTAAGCTCTGGGACCTTAGGGACCCTATGTGAACTTGAATGGCCTACCTACGGGGTTAATTGGCCACCCAAAGGTAATTTCAA